CCCTTGTTACCAGTAGCTTCTAGCTACTAGTAGTAATGCCGTTGTTAGTAGTAGCGATGCCCTTGTTACTAGTAGCTTCTAGCTACTAGCCAATGATGGGATGGGTGCTAGATTTGTCCGACTAGATACTCAGAAGGTGGTTAACCCCCCAAACCCACCCTAACCACCTTCTCAGGAGGTAGTTGGAGCCCTAGGGATCATAACAAGTCCTTGTTTCTCTCACGTATGAATGACCCTTGTGGCATGTAGCAATTGCAGGCCAATGCAGCATAGGGGCAACTATGGATGTGGTCTACGCCGTGGAAAGATTTCCATGGCATGGATTGTTTGGAACACATGAGCGCCATCGCAGACAAATCCATCCCACAAAAGAAGTAGTGCATCTTTTGATGAATCCCACTGCCAAACACCCGGTCTGCGCAGGAGAGCCCTCGAAAGGTTGCCGCGAGGTGGGTTTGGACAGCGTGGACGTTTTCTCCAGATCTTCTGAGCAGATGGACGTTTTCTCCCCAAAGCCTTTTTCATGGCGTCCTACATCCAAGCCTGTGGCTTTGTGTTCGTACTAGAAACACGTCCAGCGCAAACTGCGCCAGTTTTTCCGTGTCGACCGTGCTAGTTCGGAGCCAACGTCGAAAACACAGCAACCGCAGCCCTTTGGCCGACAGTTCCAAATTTAGGCACCACATTCGCTTCGACAGGCGCACGGTTTCCACCCGCTCGGTTTCGGGCACCGGTGTGATGGCCGTCTGCGTGTTTTCGACCAGTGTTTCCTTGAGGGTATGACATATGACCAGGAGTCACAAGACGGGGTGCCGAGCGAACGGATAAGGGTGCCCAGCAACATCCACTCACTTATATATTATATAGGGGCTAGAAACCACCCAACTCCATGTGACTCCTGGGATGTGTGTTTTCTTTGACTTTTTGTCGACTTTTGAGTGTTCCGATGTTGATGTCTCCTGCATGTAGAGACTCTGAAATTGCAAAGTTGAAGGAACAGAGGTCCCAGCAATCCCTCAGTCCGTCCGCTTGGGGTTGTTTTGTTGGAAAGCAGACATGACCTCCATGGAACACGCTCTGCAGCAAGCATCAACTGTTTGTATGATGTTTGCTGCAGAGATGGGGATTTCGGTCACCTGCTGTTCATCATGTGGCATCAAGACCTCCACAGTTCAAGACATCCCAGATGATCCAAGTTCCGATCAGTGCAGAGTGTGTACCAGATGTTTCTTCGGTTCCCTGCCGCCATCCATGACGGGGTAAAAAACCCGTTGCCCAACATGGTTGGGACGGGAACGTGCTTCTTGTGACGTTCGTAGCGATGCCCTTTGTTCCTAGTAGCTTCTTGCTCCTAGTAGTACGGCCAGGAGCCCCTAGTAGCTTCTTGTTACTTGTCGCGATGCCCTTTGTTCCTAGTAGCTTCCAAGGTCTCCTAGCCCGTTGGAGGTGTTGAAGAGAGATTCGCGACCTTCGCCACTCGGATCGCTCAGGCGTCTGGTGTCTTAGGCAAAAAAAACGATGGCGCCTTGGAAAAGATTGGCGCAGAACTGGGATTTGGATTGCTTGGAAAGGTTTGAATTCGATGGTATTTGATTTTGTTTCTATTATTTATTATTTTGTGAACTCCAGATGAGCCTCGGCCGATGTGTAGCCTATGGATGTGCGTTTGCATGGCTTGCATGTGGAACAGAGTGTATAACTACCACGTGACACATCATCCCTTTATGTTTGTTGTCATCCCGTGCCTGTTGAAACAATCTCAGCACAACGTTTACAAGGTGAAGGAATGTCTTCAACGCTTGAAGGTCCATCTTCGACGCACGTTCGGACTACATCGTTCAGCGCAAACGGAGGGTCCTTATACATGCGGAATGTCCACACTCTGAGCTGAGCATTTAAGAGGGCGTCATCTCCGTCGAACGCGAGTCAGCATCGACGCATCAGAACGGAACCCAACTAAAAGTGCCTCTCGGAACGCCGTTTCCTGGCAGTCCTATCGAAACAATAAGTCTAAAAGAGAGAAAGCGAAGAAACATGTGCCTCTCTGAAGAAGCTACTAGGGGCTCCTGGCATCGCTACTAGGAGCAAGAAGCTACTAGGGGCTCCTGGCCGTACTACTAGGAGCATCTTTACTAACAAGAAGCTATTAGAAACAAAGAAATTGCAGCTCCGAGAGGGAAGGTCGCCCTTTGGCGTAAGGCATCGGTCGCCCGCCGCGTGGCGCCGCGTCGCCCAGGTGCGATTAGAGCTCGGCGCAGCGGTGCCCGAGGCGCGCGAGGCAGCGGACGACGTCCTGGAGCGACCTCCGGAGACGGAGGTCCACGAGGAGCCACGATGCGATGCACGTTGATGTCGTTTAGGCAGACAGATGAAGGTCAAAGGGACCATCATATCCTTCAGGGGGTAGGAGCAAGGACGCTACTAGTAGCTCCTGGCCTTACTACTAGAAACAAGAAGCTACTAGTATCAAAGGGCATCGCTACTAGGAGCCAGGACGCTACTACCTTCATAATCCAGAAGGAAAATGAATGGTTTTAGTATTTACTGTATGTTGAAAAGAGCACTAGCTTGCTGGGGTTCAAATCGTTGGAGGTGGGATTAAGCTATATATATATCTTGGTGCTATTAAGATTTTGGAGCCAACATATGACATGTCGTCTTATTATTAAACCCGTCAGTCTAAGAGCAATGGCCTCCAACCGACTCCAACCTATTAATTATTGCAAAAGGAAACTATAATAGCATTAATGGTCTCCAACCTAATAGCGATGATCTCCAACCTAATTGTGATGCCCTCCCCTGTTTCGCAAGGAGTGTGCCATTTGCTTCGAGCCTGGCACCTTCGTAGACCTTCCCTGCTCGTGTGCCTCGGATATTCTGACCCTGAGTCTCTTGGTGAAGGAAGGGTCTCACATGGAAAGTGTTTGGATGGGAATTGGTTGGATAGGAATTGCTATTTTGAGGATTTGAGCCTTTTCGTTCGACTTTCCCCGTTTTTTTCCAGATGATCCATAACTGGGACCCCACCACTTTGCAGCATCTCAGTACTCAAATAATCTCTTTCTAGGATGATGACATCCTGTCCTCCATCCATCAAACCCATCAAACCTCCAAAACCACAGGTCTTCAGCAATCTCTCTACCTACCTACCTACCTACCTCCCTACCTCCCTACCTCTCTGCCTCTCTCTCATACTTGTTACTAGTAGCGTTGCACTTGTTACTAGTAGCCACCTGTCCAACCCTGAGGTGCCATCAAATATTGCACCAGCTGTTGGGATCGAGCCTTAGCAACCTCCGTGACCGTCCGCGGCCGGGCGCAGTGCCCCTCCTGCCGATCGGCCTTCAAGGCACCGCCGCTCCGGTGGAAGAGGAAGTGTTCGTTTGGTCGGTTTTCGGATGGACATCGAAATGGAAACATGAAATGATACAGAATCAGAATATAGTAATATAGAGTACCAAGACCATTCACTGCTTGTTGAATCCCAAAAAAGACAAGAATTTTTGCAATTTGATGTTGCATGCGGACAAACACGAACGCATTTTTGCACATGCATCCATTTCGCGCGCGCAGGTGGACTTCGACACCGAGAGTAGCAGCCTGGTTTTCTCCAAAGATCCTCAAGGCCCATGGAGTTTGGAGTTCGAAAGCCCGCTTGGAGTCGCTTGAAAGTCCGCTGGACGACGTAGGTTCACTGGGGTTTGCTGTGTTGCTTCCCTGTTTGGAAAATGTCTGGAACAGTTATACCCCTGAGAAGGCATAAAGTTTCTAGACAGATCCCGCACACAAGAGAGTTCCGTAAGAATTCACCCTGCAGCAAGCCAACGTGGCTGCTCGTATCTGTCATTGTCTTACAGTTTCGACTTTTTCAAGGAAGAGGTGAGGTTTTCTGAGACTCTATACATCTTGCATTTTGCCTGGTGAGGAAACAGCGGATCAGGCATCTCAAACCTCGGCCTGTCGACGGCCTCGATGAACTCCCTCGCTGTCCCATGCCCACAGGCACCGCCGCCTGTGATTGGAGAAGCCAACTTTATGAAAAGGCCAGGGAGTTTCGCCATTTCGGCAGGGAATGCTGCGAACTGTATACCTATAGACCTACCTAGCTGGTGAATGGTGAACCTTCAATGATGATGATGATGTTGTATGCATGTGTGCGTGCTAGTTTTTCAAGCTTCACTTAAATTGAAATTGAAGTGATAAGCCTAATTGACCAGCTTCAGGACCATTCACACAACCTTGACTTTCTTGGTTTTGACGGCCGAGGACTTAAAAGCACCGAGCCACACATGAGTCTCGTCGCCGTCTTTGCGGCTTTGGTAGACCTACCGAGTTGTGCGCCAGCTCAAGTATTGTTACTAATAGCTTCTTGTTGCTACTAGTAAGGCACTTGTTACTACTAGCGATGCACTTGTTCCTAGTAGCTTCTTCAGCACCCTGCCAGGTTCGACACGTGCAGATTCGACTTCTTCAGGGTTATGGCAACGCCACCACGCCGCTGGACCGATCCGCCATGGGATTTTCCTCATCGATTTTCCCGCTAAGCCGGGGAGATCACGCGAACACCGGGAAGTGGGGGGAAGTTGTAGTCACCCACGGGTGAGTTCAACACTTGCAGGACATCCTCTCCTGATAACCATCCTATTTGGATTGTACAACCCTTCTGACAACAACTGACCTTTTCATATTCCGTCATATTCAATGCAGACGTCAGAACTCGAACGCTATTCCCACAATGTTCCACACGGTTCCACACGGTGGATGTTGCGAATCTAAGGGCGCAGTCGTCATCTCCCAGTTGCAGACGGTGGGATGCGATTCCCCATTGCCCCTCGGCATTCCGAGGGAGAGCTGCGACCGCGCTCGGGTCGCGCTGGAGTTCCGATTCGATGGACCAAATGCAGTGACACGAAAGAAGGAATGTGTTGTGATGTAGCAATTCAACAGAGTGCTCCTTTATACAACGGTTTCAAAGGATGCTGTTATTTAAAACTGTGTCGAGCTTTGGGCAGGTTTGGGTGCACGGTCTTCATTACATTTGGTACACTGTCCATTTTGGCTCAAGCCAAAAGTGGGACAGTGGAGTTTCTGTTCTGCTAATTTTTGCTGTGTGTGCTGTGGATGACTTCACAGCCTATCGTCGGTGTGCATGTCGCCATGTTCACGGCTGCTGAGGTGCTTTCGTCCGCCGCGTTCCTCGAGTTCCGTCGCCAGGTCGATGCCCTTTTGGCCCGGGGGGACCGGGCAGGCGCGATGCGGCTTTGGAGCTCGGTGGTTCTATTCGAGCACATGCCTCCGTCTTCACGCCCGGGGGACGGGCCAGCTGGTTTCCCCCCTATGCGGATCTCCGTGTGTCCTAAGAGTGCCTGCCCACGGTGTGATCAGGGGCGAGGGGGCTATGTTTTCCCGTGGGTCGGGATTTGGAACCGGCGCGGGACGATTGTGCCAT